TAGTGATCGAAACACTTCCAGATGGAAAAGACATTGGAATGTGTTATGATTACATGCAGAACTGCAAGAAAAGATTGCAATAAAGGGTTTGAAGTACTACCAAAGCAATAATAGTTAATAATGACAAAAGTAACAAAGGTCATGCTCTGAAACAAGGGAAATTGTCAAATGATTTCACAATGTAGTTGTGCTTCCTAATCCTAGAAAAAAGTGTTATGTATTGAGATCTAGAGAAGAATTCACCTATTACTTGATGTTTCCGAGATGCAAATTATTCAAGACCAGATCAATAAACTCAGTTAATAACTTATATTTCTTTAGAAGTGCAATGTTACAGCAAATACCATTATGAAGATGATGAAACACAAATGTAATACTTTTGATAATTAAAATAAAGACAGACTGTGTATTGCCAAAAATTACTCACTGTGATAATCAGTAGATTCTGTAAGAGCATATTAAACAAAGCTCTTATATATGCAGCATGATTTTGTGAAAACTGATAGTGAATCAGTTGAAGGAGATCATACAGTTTTTCACAGAGAAATCCTGATTGGTGACAGTACCTTCAAAGGTGCTGTTATGTTTACTAATAACAGATTTCTGGAATGATTGTGAAGTTTTTCAGCTGTACTGCAATTTGGCTGGTACTCGGGGACTGTGAAAAGAGTTGAGAATAGGTCTTTCAATGGGGGTTGGGCAAGATGACCTCCAGAGTCACTTCCAGCCTTAACCCTTCTGTACTTCTGATTCACCGAGTCTCATTTAGGTTCAGTTGTTGGTTAACAGTAATGGGAATGGAAAGTAAGAAAGTAAGGCTTTCTAAAGCTTGAGTTTTTGCTAATGGTTGAGGTAATATTGTCATCAGAGCGAAGAAACCAGCTGGGGGCTGTGTTGTGGTCACAAATGTCCTGCACTGGAGATACTATGAGTGACACTGTGGTGGGTTCACCCTGGCCAGCAGCCAAGCACCCACACAGCTGTTGGCCCACCAGGCGGGCTGCAGGAGAGAACAGGAAGAATGAAAGGGAGAAAACTGGTGGGTTGAGATAAAGACCGTTTATTAGGTGAAGGAAGGAGGGGCCGGGCACAACTGATGCAAAGGCAATCACTCACCACCTCCCACAAGCACATTGATGCCCAGTCTATGAGCAATGGCCACCTTGGAAAACCCCTCCTCTTTCTTCCTCTGCCCCAGTTTCTGTTGCTGAACATGATGATGTTACATGGTAGGGAATGCCCCTTTGGCCAGCTGGGGTCACCTGTCCCAGCTGTGTCCCCTCCCAACCTCTTGGCCACCCTGCCATCCTACTTGTCGGCGGGGAGGAGTGGAAAGGGGCAGGAGTTGGAAAAAGAGAAAGGCTTGATGTTGTACAAGCAGTGTTCAGCAATAGCCAAAACATTATTTCGGCCACAAATTCAAAACACCATATGGGCTGCTGTGAAGGATGCTAACTCCATCCCGGACAGACCCAGTACAGTCATCAACCATGCAAGTTGATTTGTACAGGAGGAGAGTTTAAATAGAACATGGATAGAGGTTTCTTACTAATTCTAGGGACTTCCTTCATTTCCCTTGCTGATACTGTGAAAGAAGGAAATTTTAGTTACAGCAACAGGAAGGAGAGAAGTTTCGGGGAGACTAGGCTGAGTGAACATGTGGTTCTGGTACGGAGAAGTTTAAAAGGTGAGAATAACTTAAATGGGTAAAAAGTTCAGTGTAAAGTGAGAAACAGAAGATTATTTAATCTAGCAATGAGAGTTTAGTAGACATTAGACAAGCAAACTGTTAACATTTTCTTCAGAGTTTTGCTTTTGTTTTCTTTTTTTTTTTAACTTGTCTCTTCATTTCTTGGGTTTCTAGTACCTTAGTCTTCTGCCTGCCTTCCTTGTCTTGGTATGGTTTAAATGGCTCTGTTGAAGGTCAGGATGGTACTATTTAATGCAATTAAATTCTTTTTTCCTTTAATATCCCAGTTTTAAAAGGTGCTTGAATTCTTTTCCTGACGTCCTTTTGACATCTCCCCAGTTTGTATGTAACTGCTAAAAATAAACCTTATTAAGTTCTTATTTTCACTCCACCTGGTACTGCGATAGTTTGCATCTAAATACCACTATTACTGTGCTGACTCAGCATTGCTCTTGTTTTCTGGCAACGTTTTGTGCCTGAACTCTTGGGTGCTCCTGTTTGAATAGAACTGTATTTCGCACATTTCAAGTGGCTTATGTGTCCTCTGTAGACATTGTGTTAGAGTGCTTTGGAAGATGGCAGTAACTAAAATACCAACAAATGGGAGTGCATTGTCATCATCTTTTGGTTAGCCAGTGTTACAGCTGTAGAAAAGGTCTTTGTTTCTGCTTCTGGAGAACAAATCTGATTTTTTTTTTTTTCTTTTTTTTAATGTTCAGTGGATTGAGAAGGATTTTAAAATTATATTTCAAAATGCTTCCTTTAGAGTTAAAGAAAGAAATGCACAGGTTCTTTTGTGCATAATGTCAGACCTTCACCCTTCTCTTCCAAGTGACTTTGCTGGTATCAATTACAATAGCACACTTCGTTATTCTTCAACAGATGTGGGGTAGTGTTTTGGCATTTTCTGACTTCATAAGTAAAAATCAGTGCCCTGTGTTTTTTTCTGAAGATGTAAAAGCAGCCAGCTTACTAGTGAGACAGTGCTAGCTAGTCAGGCCTTCGGCTGCCGCTTCTGATTGTGAGTGACCTGAGGTAGAGCTCCGTCGGAAACGGACTTTGCTAATTTAGACACGGGGTTCCCCAGTGAGCTGTCAGGCTCTTCTAGAGTTTGAGGTTCAATGAACATATCTTAGTAAAAGTAGAGGGACTAAGGAATACGTCTCTGCAAATGTAAATCTGTCTATTGATGTCCTGGAGGACTAATAAGGAATTATTTGAAAGCACTCAGATGAAATAATTTTATTAGTTACACTGTAGAGGAGTTTGAGAGTATCTGGAATCATCTGGTCAAAAGCTGTTAGACTCTTCATCATTAGGAATTTCTCTTTTTAACAGGATACATAATGTTGTGCTGAAATACAGATGTTCTCAGTTACTGTGATCTTTATTTAGACATTTCAAGTGATCAACAGTACTTGTACAAATAGTCAGAGACATGATCAGAAGGGCCTCTGTGAATTAAAAAAATCTGGAGATACTGATTTGGGGATGTCTCATGCAAACAGAAAGGTGAAGACAGCAAAGATAGATGGATTTCTCAAAGAAACTTAAAATTCATTTCTGAGCTACCAGTGCTAGGAGTTTTGACTAAGTAAAGGCTTAATTGCCAGTGGGCTGGGTCTATTCAAATTGCTACTCAATATTTTAGAACTTTCTCATTCTTGTGTAGAAAATAAAGCTATTAACAAATAGGAAGTTCATTTAGTTGGAAACTTAATATGGTTTTGTAATTTCCACAGGGGGGAAAAGCATGTAAAGTATTTCTGATATATTGAATTCTAGAAATTCAGACTTCTTGCTAGGTTAGAAGCACAAACTCGCTTGTCCAGCAGGCAGTGTTGATTAAGGTGGGGTTTTTAGGTTACCATATCTATGGGCTATTTGCGCAGTAAGTACAGTAACACTGAGTCCTAGTAACTTTTTGCTAAACAGCCATTCACATTTGCGTCTAGTTGGAATAACTTCTGTCCTTTTGAAACACTAGAGGGCTCACTGACTGCTTTTGGAGTCACATTTTGCTTTCTATGTTATGTCCATAAACCTCCAAATGTCTAAAGCAAGGATGTTCTAAAGGTGCATTTTCTCAGGAGAAAACTTACTTACTAAGCTTGGTGTTTTTATCTAAATCTAGACTTTCTAGAAGAGTTTTAAATTAAAACTTTGATTAGCCAAAAGAGATTAATTAAATCGTTTGCTCAGTAGATTCTGGTGGGTTTTTTTCCCACTGAAGTATTTCTTAAGGTTTCGAGTTTTTTTCAAATTACTGGTTTTGTCTGCTTGGCTTTTTGGATTCGTGCATTATAATTTCCTAAGAAGCAGTTAGACAAATGTACCTGAGTAGTTAGACTCAGCAAAATGGGAGGGCATTTTGAAAAACAAAAAAAGAGTTGTTCATTAATATGTAATGATAATTATTATTAGAAGGTAATGTCGTGTGTGTGGGTTAGCTTCCTGTCTTACTCTCTAGGGGTTGACTAACAATAAGGCAATCGGAGTGGTTCTTCTTAACAGAAGTTAAGAACACACATATGCATTTACAATGCAGTATGATCAAAATGTCAATCAGTTGGAAAAACTGAAGGCAACTGAGTACATATGGGACATCTTGTAGCGTTGTGCACTTTGTGACTGTTTTGGTTGAACTGAATTGGGTCTGGAGCTGTTCCTGCCTTTCTTGCTTGGTAACTCTGATACTTGTGGCAATCTGACTTGGGGAATAAGACAGGACAAAAATGATCCTCAAAACAATAATTTCACTTGCAAAAGTTTCTATTTCCTGAACTGACTTGGTGTGGGGATAGATGAGCACTGCATCTCTTATGCAAGAGGAGGAGCAGGGATGTGCTAGGAGAAAAAGGAGGGAAAAAGGGAAGGACCATGGCAGTACTGACTTGAGCAATTTTAATTTTGTTATAATACCGCATCTTTAGGCACTTTGATTCAGACCACTTAATTACAACTTTGATTAAAAAAAAAAAAAAAAAGCCCTTCTGTGTGGTGTTCCCAGATTAAGATTAAACAAATTAAAAGATTGTGATGTGATTTTATGAGAAAATAAGCTTTGACAAAGCATAGCAAATGTCAAGTTCAGTGCAGGGCAGGATTTAGCCTGCTGAAATCTTTGAGAATTTGTGCTTTAATATCTAAAGCTGAGCTTGCAGGTCTGACATGTGACAGCAGGGCAGAATAAATCTTTCTTGTATAATACGCAAAATTACTGGAAAACTTCAATTGGTAAATTAGAAAATATGCTGTGTCCAAATGATCGGTTTCATATGATCTTGATCCCTGTAGCCAGGGATTGGGAATGCCCCATAGACGTGAAGTCTACCACTTGGCTGCCTCTTACCAGTTCCGCATTGGGACAAAATACCCTGTCCTTGGAGAGCTCCTAAGCCGTTTCACAATGAAATCAAGCAAGGACACTATTCTTGCTCTCCGGCGTGTTGGTGCCATCCATGGCCAAAGAGCATTTCCACACAGCCTCTTACTTGCTGCCTTTCAGCCGAGGTCTGACACCAGGCTAACCCTCTGGTTGAAAGTGGTCATGTATTAAATGGGGACAAACTTTTTAGCAGGGTCTGTTGCGACAGGACAAGGGGGAATGGTTTTAAACTAAAAGAGAGTAGATTTAGACTAGATATATGGAAGAAATTTTTACGATGAGGGTGGTGAAACACTGGCATAGGTTGCCCGGAGAGGTGGTAGATGCCCCATCCCTGGAAACATTCAAGGTCAGGTTGGACGGGGCTCTGAGCAACTGATCTAGTTGAAGATGTCCCTGGTCATTGCAGGGGTTTGGACTAGATGACCTTTAAAGGTCATTTCCAATCCAAACTATTCTATGATTCTGTAAGTGCAGATACCAAATTTTGCATTTGTGAAGCTGGGCCTGTAAGGGCTCTAGAGTAAATTAACATCCCTGAATTTTCCTGCAGGATAGATGTGCATTTATGCTTATGTAAATAGCAAAGAAACATTTATTATCACAAGTGCAGCAGTACTCTAGAAAATCTGTTGTCATTTATTATAGTCTGTCTTAATGCAGATTTTTAATTGACATAATTTCTCTATGTGATTTGAGCAAAAGAAGGAGGAAGGAAGAAAGTGCAGGATTACTATTATCAGCGAGTCCCAAGGCTGTTGCTTTTAAATTTAGGATTATAACTGTTATTTAACAGAATTATCCTTGACACACATGGCCTCAAGAAGAGTTCTGAAAGCAAGGGCAGAGCAGTGTTGTCAGCTGATAGCCTAAAGCAATATCTTTGAAAAGGCTGAAATTGTCACTTTTTGTCTAGAAGATGACCTCTGGCATTCCCAGCACTGCTCTGCCTTGTGGAAGAGGGAAGGAGGGACAACGCGGAAGCAAAATCTTTCCTTCTGTTACATGAAGTCAGGCTGTTGTGGTGGCCCTTAAAGAAGTACTCTTCCTGAGCAGGCGTTAAAGGTGGTGGTTGGTAAAGGGAGGTGTTGGACCTGCTGGAGTAGCAGTAGTTCTTCACCAGGCCTGCAGAGCTGTGTGCATTGTCCTCGCTGCGTGCTTGGGGAGGGACAGATGGGCCGTGCCCCTGGACCGCCCCCAAAAAGGATAGTTGGGGCTAGGCCTGGCTGATCATGGTGGTAGAGAGGGTGAGGTGTCCATGAGTCAATCCACTGTCCTGGCTTCTGACGTGGATGTCCTCTGCTCTTGCCGCAGAGCTGCTGTGCTGGGTTCCCCAAGGCAGTTTCCCAAAGCAGTATTTATTTGTGGTGCACCTCTTTATGCAAAACACGTTTTTGTAGTGATACAGAATCATAGAATCATTAAGGTTGGAAAAGACCTCTAAGATTATCGAGTCCAACCGTCAACCCAACACTACCATGCCCACTAAACCATGTCCCTAAGCGCCTCATGTTTAGTTGTAAGAGTTCTCAGCTATTTGTGCAAATGACGTGAAAGTAGCTACAGATCATACAGTAGCATTTATAGTCATAGAAGATTATATCATAATAACCTGTCCTAGGTGTTCTGCCTGCCCACTTTAGCTTCTTCTGTAATTCACCGTACTGAGTTTGAACCAGCTATTTTTTGTGCAAGAAAGTAAGTCTCTGCCAGAATCTGAAAACTACTGTGAGCTTGATTTTTGACCTTAAAAATTCCTGCTCTAGGAGAAAAAACTTCTTTAAAAATGTTTACTTCCCTCAGTTTCAGAGGTGTATGCTTAAGGGAAATAAAATCTTATTTGAATTGATATATAACACAATAAATTCCCTTCCTAAAAATTAATTATTTTTGACTGTGTCTTCATCATAAGCGTGCAGATAATGGTAGAGGTGGATGGGACAGACATGGAATTCTTACGGTAACCATCCCACTGCTATCCAGAAAACAGTGCCATTGTTATTCTGTATTGAGTATTTCATAGTTCTAATGCATACAACATGAATTTAGTTAAGCATTGAATTAAGTATGTTTAATATTGAGAATATTCTCAAGTCAGTATTTGCTGTGGCTTCTTGTTAAATCAACATAATCCTGCTTTCGTTTCTCTACAGATGATGAAACATGCCTGGGATAATTATAAGCGTTACGCATGGGGATTAAATGAACTGAAACCCATATCTAAGCAAGGACATTCAAGCAATTTATTTGGTGAGTAGAATGTATTTTTGTGCTTAGTGACGTTAGCATAAAACGGTAAATCAGCTGAAAAGCGTATAGGTGATAAACGTGTTCTTTCTACCCTCTGTCATGCAGTGTGGTGTTTCTTGCTTGTGTTATGTATAAAAAGTAACAGTAAACAAAGATGATGCTTTCTATGACTTATAGATTCTCTTCTGAATGAGAATAAATGAAGCACGTCATTGCTGCATGATAAAGATGTAGTTTTGTTGCATTAAATACTGCCCTGCCTTAAACTTTTCCTGTGAAGTGGAACTCATTGACACCACATTCAATAAGCAGGAAACAAAACTATAAGGGGGGCGGGGAATAAATCCTGTACAAGGAACAAAAGATAGTCTTTACAGTCATGAAGGTAGCTGAAGCTGTCTACAGTTCTCAGGAATTTATTTCCATTCCTTAAAACAACTTGTTAATCTATATCAGTGAGGCTCCCTTATCAGGCTTTCTCTTTAATGAATATAATCATTATTTGCACCTCTAAATGTTGCGCAGGAGATGCTTAAATAACGCCCAAGTTGTTATCAGTGTAGAACAAATATGGGGCTGAAAGTTCTTGTAGCAGAGGCACACTTCAGAAATCCAGTGTAATGAGGCAAAACTTTTTCAATGTCCAAGTGGGACATAGGGCTGGATAAATAGCAACAGCATTCTAGGAAGCAGTCCTATGAACTGTCATCATCTTCAGTTTTGCAGAAAAATGAAGAATTAAACTGTTTGACAGCAATCTTTGTATTCAAATAGCTTCTGTTTTCCAAACAGAAAGCTGAAAAATGAACTAATTTCTATAGCTTAGACAAAATCAATACATTATTTTGATTTTAACAGCAACTTATTTTGTTGAATGTTTGGAAAAGATAGTTTGAAGTGGAAACAGTTCCTAAAACAGCCTAAATAGAGCACTTATCAAATCCTCAACTATATTTGGAGGTTGCTAAGAGACAGCAGTTGTGATTACAAAAATAATTTTGAAAATACATCATCTACATTGATCTTGCTGTGCTGCTTATCTACTCAAGGTAACATCAAAAATGTTACTAGGTAATTATTATATAGTTAGTTATTGGACTTCAAACATAAATTGGGTGCTTGAAAGCAAAGTAGTTTGGGTGAACTTCAGAGTTAAGTTGGGCTTCTGTTTTCTTGAAAACTAAATTTTTTTATTGTCTTCATTCAGATGACTGATAGTTGTGCAATTTAATATATATTTGAAGAACTATTTAATGCAATTCTGTTTTCTTTGTTTTCTTGGAGGACAACAAAATGGCACATGATGTCTTGAAAATTAAAATGCTTAATCTAGTTTCATTTGGAATCAGAAGTGGTATAAAAATTTATGAGGTTTGAGTTCTTAATGATATTGCATGGATTTGCAGAAAAAGCTGTAGATGTGTTGACTTGTGAAACTCTTAAGCAGGAGTTCTGTGGATGTTGCATAAGAATACGTCACTGCAGGCACTATTCAGTGTGAAACAGGACAAGTGTTGAATTTGAAAATAAAACTGCATTTAAAGGAGTAAGAGCCAGAGTCAGTCTAAATGCAGATCACTTTCTCATCATGGTCATCTAGTATAAGATCTTATTGCTGAGGAGATTTCCTTAGAAACTTCTTCACTCTTATTGATCTTGGTGGCAAATCAAAATAAGCATTAGATCTCTTTCTGCTGAATTGCTTTACAGAATACTAAAGAGCAGCATATCTGCAAGCAGTTCTGTCTCATAAGCTACCCTTTCCTGAATCCATAATCTCCTTTTGGTTTTAGAATCCTTGTTTCTGTAACAGTCTGCAGATCATTAGATCTGATCTATACCTTCATGTTTGAATTCAACAAATGCCTTCTTTTTCATAAAGCAATGAAAGGATGATTTGGTTTTGCTTGCCCTTTTTTTTTTTTTTTTTTTTTGTGCAAGTAATTAACCTTTCTTTCCCTTTTTTTTTTTTTTTTTTTTTGGTCAAGCAGTTGAACCTCTTTTTCCTCATGAAAGGATAAACAAGTTTCCTTATCTTCTTTGTTTCTTGTTCTTATTTAAAAAAAAAAAATTCAATAGTTGCATTTTAAAAAAATTGCAAATGGTTGACTACTTTTAAGGTAATTCTGAATTAAATTAGCTGAGAATAGGTTACCTCCAGCTCTGTGTCACATGAATCTCCTCCCAACCTTCAGAAATCAAGTAAGACCTTCAGTTCACCTTCAGTTCATCCATCATATCTCCAATTTGCTATGATCGTCTTTTCTTCTTGCTTCCAGGTCTTAATTTTTCAAAAATACAAGTTTCTGATTATCTTAGTAGCAGTAAGAGATAGCATATTTCATTAACCAGCTGTTTAATTTTGAACACTTCCCCTCCTATGAATTAGTTGGTGCAGTTATGGTACTTTGCATATATTGGGAGTGTCTGTTATGTACCTCACTGTGGGGAACAGCAGGTTCCAATGCTGTGGCTCACTGTGCTTAATGTTGTATAGGTTACAGACAGTATAGCTGTCCTGATACAGAAGAAGGGAAATTATATTGCTTCTAATCTTAATTTTGAAAGTATAAATGCTTCAGTCATTGCTAGCATGATAAGGCATTTTGTATATAGATTATAATGATGGTTGTGCCTTGAAGGCAAGACATAACCATCATGATGTGTTTGTCTCAAACACAAAAATAAGGTGGGCTTTTAAGAAGTGTAATTACACATAGATGTGACTGTTAGGCAATACCATCATGAATTTGGCAACTATACTGACACTATTGTTAGGCTAGGGGTAGAGGAATACGGCCAGTGGGATGACTATGGGAGAAGGGTTGGTGACGATGGGAGAAAGGATAGTAATGACTGGTGGTTCTGACCTCGGGGGAAGGAAAAGCATCCTGCTTTAGCACCTCATACAAATTAAGAGTAGTAGAGCTCTTCTGTAGCTGAAGAATTCTTGACGAACTTTGAAATGACATTTTATTTGTCCTAAACCCAGGCCATGAAACCAACTTTTGAAGACAAGGACCTGCCTTGATCTTGCTGGTATTCTGTGAGCAGTGTGTGGAAGGTGTATTTGATAATTTGAGGGAGTCTTTAGACTAGTAGACTATAGACATATTCATGTTATGAGCAGAAGTTGCTTCCTCTCACATATGCACGCTAAAAATAATTAACTTTTAGAGAAAGGCTGAAACATTTTTAAACTGAAATATTCCTGTTTCAAGCCAAAGCCACACACTTGCCTCTGACCATTGCAAAGTCTTTTCAGCACATCCATGTGATGTTTTGATTTCCTTTTTGTTTGCCACTTTAGCTTTTACCATGTTGTCTTGGCAAGTAACTAACATTATTGTGGGTTTTTTATAGTTTACACCAACTACAAAGTATTCCGTTACAATAACGACTATTTGAAAAGGCAGAAGCGAAAAGTCATCAGTTGTTGTCTCTGTAGCATTCTTTTTTGTTTAATTCCGTGAAGTGTACAACTATTTCTAGACTAATCAAGTAAATTTGAATAGCTAAACATCTGTTTGCACCGTACCTGTGCACCAGCAAAACAAGGCATGTCTCCTATGCTGTTGTGACTTCTGCTGTAGTACTAATCATTCTCTGCCCATACCTGGTAGAAAGTAGGCCCTGAGTAAGTGCTGTTAATTTTTAATACTTTAACCTTTAAAGTTTCAGATTACTGTTAACAATGTTTTCTAAAATAGAGCCTTATCCATCTACCCTCCTGGTGTGGAAGAAATTGGCAAAATCACAATTTTGCCAATTTTTTTTCACAGCACCCCACCACCAGCCCCCCAACCTAGGAGTTATTCCTCTCCAAGCCTTCTGTACTAATTTTAAAACTAATGAGCATTTTGCACTGGTGGAGAACTTTTTCTAGAAGTGGTTTCTGCTCTTAAGTGAGGGCTTTTAAAATTGTCTGTAACTGTATTTCATGTGCAGCATTGCAAGTTTAATAATGTTGTAACTTGTGGGCATAGTATAATTAGTCTCTGCAAGTGAAAAAGGACTTTCTGGAGAGGAAGAAAGAGGCATTTAATAAATACTCACAATCTGCAAAGCCCCAAAGTACTATAATTTAGCAAGATCCTGTTCCTCCCACTTTGAACTGATTTTTGTAGTTTCTTGTACGGAGTATTGAGGTGTATGAAGATTTTTAAAGAGTGCGAAAATTCATGTTCAAAACTCTTGCAGTGTACATCAATGTGTATTTTTAAACTGTAAGTTTATTAATATCGCTCTAGAAAATTAATTGTACATGTATTTAAATAATACGTTAATTGAAATTGAAAAGCTTCAACATCTTGCCCCTGCTTCCCCCCCATTTTCCTTCTCTTCATTTTTGCTGCTGGATTCCTTGGAATTTTGGGTTTCAGTATGTGATCTTAATTTTGGAAGTAAGCGTGACATCTTTCCCAACTAAATTAAGAGGAGGTCATGCTTAACAAGTGCTGTTTTTTCAAAGTTGGTCGGTATGGAGACAAGGAAAGTTACTGTGTTTTTAGATTTCCAAAAAGCGTTTTTCAGAGTTATTACTCGCCTCTTGCATGGATCCATTGCTGCTGAAGCCATGCTCTCAAATTATTTATCACAGCGCTGGAAAATCAAGTGACCAGGGTGACAGTTTGTCAGTGCTAACAAGTTACTTGAGGTAGCTATGGCAAAAGCAAATTGCAAGCGATTCCATGAACCCAGAAGGATTCCCCAACAGATGATAATTGCTCTTTCAAATAGCAAATGGGGTCTAACATACCTAAATTTAAACTGGCACATAGTGGTATGGGAGATACGATTCTAAGTTAGTACACAGAACTAGTGCACTTGAACTCAAAGCAGTAAAGATCGAAAACCTTTCAGTATAATATATGGAGGTGCATAGAAAGTGGCATAGATTGGGCGAACAAGGATTTATTGTTCCCAGTGGGAAACAATACCCTTTGTAAGGGGTGGAAATATCAAATCAGTAGGCAGCATGTTCAGACAAAGAAAAGGAG